AGGACCCTAAACGATGGGAGTTATGGCAGGTTCCTTATCATGGGGAATGCAGGATTTATATCATCAGCCGTAATTCCTAAATCTCTAAGCCCAAAGCCCTAAAACTCTGCGCAGCGCTCCTCTTACAGCGCAGCGCAGCACGAAGAAGTGCACAACAGAAGTTCGCATCTGCAACTGCCTTACTGCAGAGGTTCAACGATTCCTTTCAAGGGTTCCTTCTGTGAAGGGTACTCTAAACCCTAAACCCTAAATCCGTAAACCCCTAGACGCTAAACCCTAAACCCTACAGGAGCCCTCAACCCTAAACCCTAAAGGCACCCCTAGAATTCAGGGGGTTTCGGGCAGTCAAGGTTTGGTGACATAGGCGTACATGGCAGCGGCATCATCACAGGGATGTTGTGGGTGTATGAGTATTTCTCCAAATAAGGCTCCCTTTCTCGGTCCCAAAGAAGTACGGCACCCCTAGAAAAAGGACGCCAAAAGGGACCCTAATTTAGACAACTGCTCATGTGTGAAGCGACCCCGAAGCGCCTGAACTTCTGCTTTTCCAGCCCCCATGAATATAGAGGTTTAAAAGGTTTAGGGTTTAGGGTTTGGGGTTTAGGGTGCCATAATCTCCGATAAGAAAGTCTACCTGTAGAACCCTCATCCCAGCCTGCGTCTTAGCGCCGCTGAAACCTATGGATCGCGCCTGTAGTAACCCTACATTCCCTTTTGAACGGAACTCTTGCAAGGAACCTTATTCTAGTTATTAACAAAGGCTCCATAGAACAGAAACCCTTGTGTAAACCTGAAAAGGAACCCTGGAAGGAGCCCTATTCTACACATTTAGGCTTCTATACCTTAAGCCTTAACCGTACACCCTACACCCTAAACCCTAAACGCAGAACCCTCAACTCTAAACCCTGAACCCTAAACCCTAACCCCAAACTCCTAAACCCCTAAACCCAAACCAGAGACTATTTTCCGAAAGCCTAAACCCTAAAATCCTAAACCCTAAACCCTAAACCCTAAACCCTAAACCCCCGAAAGCCAAGCCAAGCCTCGACTTCGCAAAACGCCGCAGGCCACACGGATCGAAGCGGAGGCCCGTCCCGCTCGCGACAAAGCTTGTTGTGGGCGTTCTTGAGAGTTTAGGGTTTAGGGGTTTA